CGCTTCGCATCAAGGATTCCACCTCAGACAGCACCTGTGTCACCGCGGTTTGATCAACCGCTTCAGCAACACTGGCGTAACCTGCTGTGTGAATCATCTCCACGAGATTTTGTTCTAATTGTTCAACCGTCCATGCGACTGAATCCGGCACACTCTCTTTATCGAGAGATCGCTGATCGTTCTTCCCGAGACGGATCGTAGTGATAATGCGGGTCCTTGCGAAAACAGTCGAAGCGGAGCAGTTGAATATTTCACGTCCACCTCGCCATAAACACGCACAGAGGGACCGCCGTCTTCCCCGATATCGCGGTTGTCGACGTGAAGTTCAATACCACCGACTTGGAACACTTTTTCATTCATCGTTTTTTCCCCCAACTTTCAGAAATATAGAGACATTGTACATCACAACTATCACCGTGTCAATATAAAAAAGCCCTTCTCGGTGTGTGTATTAATTTCCTTAAATCTTTTTTATAGTGTTTACTATAAAAAAACTTGCAAAAAAAATAGTGATGTGATATACTATTAATAAATCCGAATTTGCCTGTCTGAGTCAAAAATGAAACAACAAATGCTCGACCGCTTTGGACGGATCCATACGAATCTTAGGATCTCGGTTACAGATGTGTGTAACTTCCGTTGCATCTACTGTATGCCAGAAGACATGACCTTTATGCCAGACGCGGCACTGATGACGTTCGATGAGATTCTGCATCTCGCCCGCATTTTCGTCGCGTTGGGTGCTAACAAAGTTCGCATTACCGGCGGCGAGCCGCTTGTGCGTCCCGGTGTGCCTGCGCTCATAAGGCAATTGACGCAGCTGGAAGGGCTCAAAGACATCAGTTTGACAACAAACGGCATCGGGCTTATCAAACAAGCACAAGCACTTTACGATGCCGGACTCCGCCGTATCAATGTCAGTCTGGATACGCTCAATGAAGAGAAGTTCGAGCAAATGACGCGCCGGAAGGTGCTCTCACGCGTGCTTGAGGGGCTTAAAGCAGCGCACAAATGCGGTTTCAACCCGATTAAAATCAACGCTGTCGCAATGCGCGGTTTTACCGATGATGAGATTGTTGATTTAGCCACCTTCGCACGACAAAATGATTATCAACTCCGATTCATCGAATTTATGCCGCTTGATGCCGATGATGTGTGGGGACGTAACATGTACATCCCCGGAAAAGAGATTATCGGAAAAATTAACGCCGTCTATCCACTCACACCGGTAACCCAGAACGGCGAGGCAAAGAGCGACACCGCGCAACGTTATCGTTTCTCGGATAGCGAAAACGAGGTAGGGGTCATATCCTCCGTGAGTGAACCGTTTTGTGAAAACTGTAACCGAGTGCGTCTCACTGCTGATGGAAAGCTTCGGACCTGTCTCTTCTCGCTAACGGAAACAGATCTGCTTACGCCGCTGCGCGAAGGCGTAGCAGATGATGGAATCGCTGAGTTAATCCTCAATGCGGTTGAACAAAAAGAGGCAGGGCATAAGATTAACGCAGCAGACTTCATTAAACCAGAAAGAAATATGTCGAGAATCGGCGGTTAAAGCGTTTCTTGTAGCGACAGGTGAGTTTAAAAAATCGCGCTGTAGGCGTGAGGTCGACAAAATAAAAAAATAATATTGGAACCGCATTTACGAATTTTATTAAGGAGTTCAAAACAACGGATGAGCAACGACTTGGTGATTAAAGACTTGCACATCAGCGTGCAAGAAAAACCAATTATCAAAGGATTAAATTTAACTATTAAACAGGGTGAAATCCATGCGCTTATGGGTCCAAATGGGTCCGGCAAAAGCACCCTCGCGAATGGCTTAATGGGGCATCCTCTCTACGGTATTGAATCCGGCGAAGTGATTTTTAACGGGGTTGATATTCTGGAATTGGAGGCCAATGAACGCGCGAAACTCGGACTTTTCCTCGCTTTTCAGTATCCAATAGCGATTCCCGGGGTCAGTTTGGCAAATTTCCTACGGCTCGCAGTGAGCGCAGTCCGCGCGAAAGAGGGGAATGGTTCGGGCAATGACCAACTCATTCCAATGCGCGAATTCCGTAGTGAGCTTCGTGATAAAATGAAAAAATTCGGTATTGACGATTCTTTCGCAAGACGATACCTTAATGATGGGTTCTCCGGTGGCGAAAAGAAACGCGCTGAGATTCTACAACTCGCAATGCTTGAACCCAAAATTGCGATCCTTGATGAGACGGATTCCGGACTTGATATTGATGCTATCCGAATTGTCGGCGAAAGTATCAGTCAATTGATTGGGCCGGAGTTGGGCGTGCTGATTATCACGCATTACCCACGGTTGTTGGACTACATCCGTCCACAGTTCGTGCACATCCTGCTGGATGGTCAGATTGTTGAATCCGGTGGATGGGAACTCACACAGATGTTAGAAGCAGAGGGCTACGATCCGATTCGTGAAAAATACGGTATTACCGAGGAATAATTCGGAGCGGTGGCGCGCGGCATCCTCGCTAACATAATAGGAGAAGTGAAATGGCAAATTCTGAAACGAACACCATAGAAGAACTCGAGATGAGTAACGACTACCAATACGGGTTTCACGATGATATTAAACCTACATTCAAGTCACGAAAGGGGTTGGATGAAGAAGTTATCAACCAGATGTCCGACATCAAAGGCGAACCCGACTGGATGCGCCAGTACCGGCTTGATGCTTATAAAATTTTCAAGCAGAAGCCGATGACCCGATGGGGGGGCGACCTTTCCCAACTCGATTTTGACGACATCTACTATTACGTCAAAGCCTCCGAGCGGAGTGAGCAGAGTTGGGACGATGTACCGGACGACATCAAGAAAACCTTTGATCGGCTTGGTATCCCGGAAGCCGAACGGAAATTCCTCGCAGGTGTCGGTGCACAGTACGACTCAGAAGTCGTTTACCATAACATCGTCGAAGAATTGGAAAAAATCGGTGTTATTTTCCTCGATACCGATACCGCTATCAAAAAGCACCCCGACTTGGTGAAGAAATACTTCGGCACTATTATCCCATCTGCGGATAATCAGTTCGCGGCACTCAACAGCGCGGCCTGGAGCGGCGGAAGTTTCGTCTATGTCCCACCCGGCGTAAAGGTAGAATACCCATTGCAAGCCTATTTCCGAATCAACAGCGAAAACATGGGTCAATTTGAGCGTACGCTCATCATCGCCGATGAAGGTTCACAGGTACATTACGTTGAGGGTTGCACCGCACCGACGTTTAGTAGCCAATCCTTACACAGCGCGGTCGTCGAGATTGTTTGCATGAAAGGTTCGCGGGTACGCTACACGACGATTCAGAACTGGGCAAACAATGTATATAATCTCGTCACGAAACGAGCATTTGCATACGAAGACGCGCAGATGGAGTGGGTCGATGGCAACCTCGGTAGCAAGTTGACGATGAAATATCCGAGCGTCTATATGATGGAGCCCGGTGCGCGCGGCGACATTCTCTCAATTGCATTTGCAAGCAAGGGACAACACCAAGACGCAGGGGCAAAAGTCTATCATTGCGCGCCACACACAACTTCGCAGATAACCTCGAAGAGCATCAGTAAGGATGGCGGTAGATCCAGTTATCGCGGGTGGGTCAATGTCGCGAAAGGCGCGAAGGGATGCAAATCACACGTCGTCTGCGACGCGCTGATTCTCGATAAAGACTCCCGTTCAGACACCTATCCGGTTATTGAGATCGGTGAGAACGATACGAACATTGAGCATGAGGCGCGTGTCAGCAAAATCGGGGAAGAGCAACTGTTCTACCTGATGAGTCGTGGGCTTTCCGAAGAAGAAGCTTCCACAATGATTGTCAATGGGTTTATCGAACCTCTCGTTAAGGAACTTCCGATGGAATACGCTGTCGAGATGAACCGCCTCATCCAACTTCAGATGGAAGGTTCAGTCGGTTAACAAAGTTATCAGCTATCAGTTATCAGTTATCAGTTAAAAGAGGGTTTTGGTAAATGAAATCCTCTCAACTGATGACTGACGACTGACGACTGACAACTATTCTAAGGATAAAAAAAATTGCAAAAGGGACATTTTTCAAAAGAATTTCTTCAAAAGATAGCAGCAACTGAGCCAAAATGGATGCGTGAGAAACGGTTGGAGGCTTACGCACTTTACGAATCCTTGCCGATGCCGCATACGACCAAAGATGATGTATGGCGACGCACCGTCGATATGCGTACCCAAGATTATTGGCGGCGCACTCGGCGACATCTCAGCGGCTTCGCACTCGAAAAATATCATCCAAATGCTCCAACGAACGGTAAACCATCCGCCGAAGCTTTAGATTACAACGACGAAGAGACAGCAGGCGTGCTTGTGCAAGTTGATGGACAACTCCAATACGCCTCCACCACTGAAACGCTGAAAAAAAAAGGCATATATTTCGCAGATCTCCACACCGCTCTACATGAGCAACCCGAGTTACTTCGCACCTATTTTATGAGTAAGGCAGTTACTTTGGAGACGACGTTAAAAAGCGGGAATATTGCACAGTATAACAAGTTTGACGCACTTCACGGTGCTTTTTGGCAAGGTGGTTACGTTCTGCATGTCCCTAAAGGCGTAAGAGTTGAAGAACCGCTGCAAGTCTATATCAAGATGTCCGAGGCGGAACATGCCGACCTATCGCATACGCTTATCATCGCTGAAGAGGGTAGTCAGGTTGTGATCTTGGAAGACAATTCATCTACCAATCCAGATGCGGGGGGTTTGCATAGCGGAGCAGTAGAAATTTTCGCGGAACAGAATGCGAACGTGACTTACGCGCAGATTCAACAGTGGAATCGCCAGGTTTGGAACATCGCCTCACATCGCGCTATGGTTGGCAGAGACGCACAACTCTGTTGGGTAACCGCCTCCTTTGGTGGTAGGATGAGCAAGATAAACCAAGCTGTTGTCTTGGAAGGTGCCGGATGTAACGCTCAAATGTTGGGATTGGCTTTCACCGATGCACGGCAACACTTGGATGTCAGTACTGCCCAAGAGCATATCTCACCGCACACCACCAGCGATCTGCTCTATCGGACAGTCCTGAAAGATAGATCACAGACGGCGTGGGGTGGGAACATCTACGTTTATCCGTCGGCGAACCACACCGATGCGTACCAGAAAAACGACAACTTACTGCTCAGCGAGCGTGCGCATGCGGATACGCTGCCCGGATTGGAAATCCAAGCACACGAGGTGCGTTGTACACACGGCGCAACCGCCGGGAAGATCGATGCCGAACAGGTTTTTTACCTAATGAGTCGCGGTGTGTCTTACGCACAAGCAGAAAAATTGATTGTTGACGGGTTTTTTGCCCCTGTCATGGAACGTATTCCGTTGGAATCAGTTCGTGAAGAGTTGAGTACATCCGTTACGCACAAACTTATAGGCGAATCCCAATAGATTTTATGGCGCAGCGTTCACGGTGCCGCCACAACTTTCTATAGATGTGCTCTCCTGAGCACATCTAACTAACACAAAGGAGCAACTCACAATGAGTCAACCCAGAATTATCGCTTACATGAAGCCCGTCTGTGGGTGGAGCAATGGTGTCCGTGCCATCTTCGCCAAATACGATTTGGAGTATGAAGATAGAGACATCATTAACAATGAAAACAACTATCGTGAAATGGTTCAGAAGACGCGGCAGTCTTATCAGCCCTGCGTCCAGATTGACGATATAGTGCTCGCCGATGTCAGCGGCGATGAAGTGGAAGAGTATCTGATTTCTGAAGGGATTGTCCAAACCAGTGAGGCTGAAACCGATGTCCCAACCGATCAGGCATGTGAGGACCACGGACCTTCTGCTGTCAATATCGGCTTCCCAAGCACGTAGATTTACTTCTGCAGGAAGAAAGGATGAAAATCTCCGATTTTCATCCTTTCTTTCTGATGAGCCTCCAAGCGTGGGCGCGCTCAGGTGGGCGCGTCTACAGCGAGGCTGTGGTATGGTATAGGAGGATAAACAAATGCATACACCGCAATTTCGTCCTCTTGATGTGGAAAGCATCCGCAAAGATTTTCCGATCTTCGCGACGACACCGCCGTTGGCTTTTCTCGATAATGCTGCCTCAACGCAGACCCCGCGTCCTGTCGTCGAAGCGATGGATGACTACTATGATACCTATCGTTCCAATATCCATCGCGGTATCTATCGTATCTCAGAAGAAGCAACGGCACAGTATGAACGCGCTCGTGAGAAGGTAGCACAGTTGGTTAACGCTCCGCGGGCACGACAGATTATCTTTACACGGAACACGACGGAATCCATTAATCTCGTCGCTTACAGTTGGGGAAGCGCAAACATACAAGAGGGCGATGAAATTGTCCTTACTGTTATGGAACACCATAGCAACCTTGTGCCTTGGCAACTGATGGCGCAGCGCACTGGTGCTGTGCTCCGATTCATGGAGATCACCGACGAAGGGTTGCTTGACTTCACACAACTTCATGACCTCCTCACTGAAAAAACGAAACTTGTTGCCGTAGGACACGTTTCAAATGTACTCGGGACAATCAATCCGATCCAGTCCATCATTATGGCTGCGCATGCTGTTGGTGCTAAGGTAGTCGTTGATGCCGCACAATCGGTGCCGCATTTTCAGGTCGATGTCCAGCAACTGGATTGCGATTTCCTCGCTTTCTCTGGACATAAAATGTGTGGTCCCACTGGTATTGGTGTCTTATACGGTAAATTGGAACTCCTTGAAGAGATGCCGCCCTTCCTCGGTGGTGGTTCAATGATTCGGAGCGTCGAACGCGACGTATCAAGTTATGCTGAACTTCCCGCCAAATTCGAGGCGGGTACCCCAAGCATCGCCGAAGCGATCGGACTCGGGCACGCAGTCGACTATATTACACAAGCAAATTTAGCAGCACTTCAGGTCCATGAACAAGAACTCCTAAAATATGCACATAATCGCTTACAAGAAATCGAAGGCATCACCCTCTATGGACCCGCCCCACATCAAAAAGCGGGTGTTATCTCCTTTAATATGGAAGGTATCCATCCGCATGACGTGGCTGGCGTTTTGGATACGCACGATATCGCTATCCGAGCAGGACATCACTGTGCACAACCGCTTATGAAGAGATTGGATGTTATCGCCACCGCCCGTGCGAGTTTTTACCTTTATAACACAATTGATGACGTGGACCGGTTATATGAAGGGCTGTGCAGAACACAGAAGTTGATGACCCGGAGCCAGAGAAGGAGAGCGGAATGAACGTATATCAGGAAGAACTGCTTGACCATTACGAAAATCCGAGCAACTATGGAACACTGCCGAATCCTAACATTTCCCATGAAGAAGACAATCCGCTTTGTGGGGATCGGATCCGCATCGACCTTGTTGTTGAAGATGACACTATTACAGAAGTGCGATTTTGCGGACACGGTTGTACCATCAGCTAGCGGCTGCCTCTATGCTGACTGAGAAGATTGAAGGCAAAAGCCTCGATGAAGTCAAACAACTTACAAAAGACGACATTTTAGACATGATCGGCATCCCTTTGGGTCCCGTGCGCCTCAAGTGTGCGCTATTGGCTCTCAAGGTTCTCAAAGCCGGTGCGTATGGCATCAAAGGCTGGCCCGGCGAAGAAGAATAAAAGCATTTTTCCGATGGACGGCACCAAAAGTGATTCAGCAAATTCGTTTTCCTGTATCCGTTTTATCTATCATTCTCTCAACGGGCATCTCATTAAAAAAAGGAGGCTGAACGCAATGAGCAACGATGTAACAACACAAGAAGCTAAAGTTACACTGAGTGTTCAGCAGTTAGAAAGCATCATTCGTAAAGTGGTTCGTGAAGAATTGGTGGAATTTGCGGCACAAGAACTCGGAATTCTTCACCTTGATAAGGAATCTCCGCTCTATGAGGATATGGAGGATATTCTCGAACGTAAAAAATCCGGTCAATTGAAGTTTCATACCCACGAAGAAATTTGGAATTCATAAGTATTAGGCATTTATGTATCAAGCATTTTATGAAGACCGGTTTGTCCGCAATCTTACCCGTTACTCAAATTTACGCCAGCGTATTCAGCGAAAAGTTGAACAGATTCTGGCAGATCCCTACGATCGTACGGAACGTCTCGGACGGGTTTCTGGTGGATTAGATTTACGTGGTTGCCGCAGTTCTCGCGTTGATAGAAACTTTCGCATAATTTTTGTTATCTGCGAAGAATGTAGTTCTATCAAGGAATGTCAGTATTGTTTCTGCGAAGAGAAAGAAGATAAAACAGTCATTTTTTTGACTGTAGGTCCACATGTTCGGGCTTATACTATGAGTTAAAGCATGTTCTACCAACACACGCCCAAACCAGTAGTTTCCCGTAGTTTAAAGGTTAACTGGGCAAAAAAAATAAAGAAAAAAGCAAATATGCCAGAATTCTATAAAGTTGCGAAAGTGAGTGAAGTACCACCCGGCACGAAACAATTAGTTGAAGTTGATTTTGTCCCCGTACTACTTTTCAATGTCGATGGTGAGTTCTATGCGATAGAGGACGTTTGCACGCACGATAACGGTCCTTTGGGAGAAGGTTGGTTCAATGGTGAGGAGATAGAATGCCCTCGGCACGGCGCACGTTTTTGTGTGAAAACAGGAAAACCGCTCTGTATGCCCGCTGTCGAAGCCGTTGATTGTTACGCCGTCAAAATTGAGGATGATGATATTCTGGTCAGCATTGACTAATTAATTACTCGGACCTCATAGGAGGAAATTTCAATGGTATCCGAAGAAACTGTATTAGAAACTATCAAGCAAATTATCGATCCGGAAATTGGTATCAACATCGTCGATATGGGCCTTATCTACGGTGTTGACATCAATGACACGACTGTAGATATTAAAATGACCTTAACGAGTATGGGATGTCCCGCTGGTGGACAGATTATCAACGGTACACAGCAGGTCACGCAGCAAATGGACGGTGTTGAGGAAGTCAATGTTAATGTCGTCTGGAGCCCGCCTTGGAGCATGGAAATGATGAGCGACGACGCAAAGGATGAACTCGGCCTCTTTTAAAAGTAGTAGGGTCTTTAGAAAAGCCACACGCGCTTTTCTCCCACCGTGTGCCGTGACCTGCATCATGAACAAGTTCGCGAAACAACCGAAACTCCTCAAGAAACATCCCAACGCCTTTCAGGTAGAGTGGAAGGACGGACATGTCAGTTGGTATCCGTACGTCTATCTCCGACAGATGTGTCCGTGCGCTGAATGTGCTATCATCCGGCACAAAGGCAGGGATGTCCATTCCCTCTTTGCCCCACAAGGCGACGGAGATATAACCCTCATTGAGGTTTCAGACGATATTCAACCCCTTGACATCCAGTTAGTCGGTCGTTACGCGCTCCAATTCAGTTGGAACGATGGACACGATACCGGCATCTACCCATTTGAAGCCCTGCGCGAGACGTGTCCGTGTCCAGAATGTGCACCCCTTTATGAAAAGCCACTTATTCAAACGGAGGAAGAAAACTGAGCAATGCAGACTATGCCGTCACTTCCTGAAATTTCACCGCGTGAACTGAAACAGAAACTCGACGAAAACGAATCCGTGTTTTTATTAGATGTCCGCGAACCGAGCGAATATGACATTGTGCACCTTGAAGGTGCACAGCTCATACCGCTTAACACATTACCACACCACGTCGATAGTCTTCCATCAGACCAAGAAATTGTCGTCTATTGCCACCATGGAACGCGAAGTCTCTATGCCACCGCCTACCTACACCAAAACGGATTTCGTGATGTCAAAAATCTCGCAGGTGGTATCGACCAGTGGACAGCCGAGATCGATCCAACCCTACAGAGATATTAAATTGACTTTTAATTTATTGCTCCTGGGCCGCTGCGTCCGTTGTCCTTGCGGGTTTCTGGTTAATTCCAGACTGCGTTTGAGATTGTTGACATTGATTGCAACCTATATACAGGTGGGGAACGGAGTTCCCTCCTACAAAGGTTCTCAAGCGTAGCCCGTAACGAAGTGGAGGGCGGATGTACGCCGATTAAGGTTATTTATCCAACCCACCTGACCGAACCGAAAGGTATAATTAAAATATGATTGTCGAATTTGAAAACCGCTCTGGCGACATAGAACAAGCCGAAATGGAAATTGATGAACCTTGCCCGATCTGTTGTGGCATGCTCTTCCCTGCTGTGGAGTCTAAACCAGAGAGTGGATACCGTTGCAGCAGCTGCGGACTCGTTTTTGAACCTGTTGAAGAAGAGTAACTCTTCGGTTTCCGTACCCAATTCACCGCCAAAAATTGTAGCACGCAACATCGGCGCGAGCGGAACCGATCAGAAACTGTAGGAACCCTTTGTCCTCCGAGTACCCAAAAACGTAAGCCCGTAACGTAGTGGAGGGCGGATTTAAGGAAAATGCGTCAAGTCCACAACTCACTTGATTCCTCCGCAAGGTAAAATTAAAAATCAATTTTCCGGAAATCTGGAACTTCCATCGGTGTTCCACCACTCGCGATGGATTGTTCTGAAACTAAGCCCGGCACAGTGAAATCCATCGCTGTATAGACATCCATCGGCGGTGGTGTGTCGGTGAGGATACTATCGACAAAATCCCGTACCTTGAAATACTCGCCGAGGTCACCAGCATTTTCTGCCTCAGCAGGCGGGTCTTTCCACCGTTCGGGCAGAAGGTCTTCAAGTTGGGAGAGCGGCCTCCACTGCTCGCCTATTCCGAACTCACTCAACCAAATTTTCGGTGCGGCGTTGAACCCACGCGAACTCTCATAGCACCCTTTTGTTCCTTGTAGACTGAAATAGGAATTTGCTGGACGGTTCGAGAGCATATCAATCCGAATCTTAATTAACCCGCCAGAATCCGTTTTACACAGCATCATCACTGTATCTTCCATCGCGTGTTCAGGGTCGGTGTTAACGCCAGTACCGAGGCAACAGACACTCGCGACACGTCCACCGAACCACTGAAGTACCGGACCGAGGCTATGCGTCGCATAGTTGCACCGATTAATGCCTACCTGCCAGTAGTAGCGCCACGTCGGATTACCACTTTCATCGTGGTGGAGCGACTTGATGTTGTGGAGATATTCCCCTTCCCCGAAATAGACATCGCCGAACATGCCCGCCTCTGCCATGCTGCGGATCAGCACGTTTGACTTGGAATAGCACGTGTTTTCAGCCATCGTGTACTTGGCAGATGCCTTCCGAACCGCCCGAACCAAGTCGTAGCACTCCTCTAAATTGACAGCAGCGGTCACTTCACTGATGACATGTTTCCCCGCTTCCAACGCCTCAATGGCTTGCGGTACGTGCAGATTTTCAGGTGTAGCGAGGACGACGAGGTCCACCGCGTCCAGCATCGCTTGATAATCTGTAAACTGTTGGGGAATATCAAACCGTTCTGCAACGCTTTGGAGTGCCGTCTCATTGATGTCACATACCGCCGTCATATCGGTTTCCGCTATCGCTTTAAAAGGTACTACGTAGGAACTCCCTCGATGTGCCCCTACAATCCCCACTTTCAGTTGATTCGCCATTATGTATATCCTCCGATTTCGATGTAGCTTCGCAAACTGAAACTTGCTCTACAACGGACTATAGCCGTAGCATAGCATATTGTACGCAATTTATCAGTAAAATTTCCAACCGTTTCAACCTTCACACTACGCCTATAGTGGACGTTGCTCTCACCATTTTAATTTGCAAGCACGGTACAGATTTGATATACTTAATACGGTTGCTGAAGTGTCGTTGATAAGGCTTCAAAGCGCACTTCAAAACAGTATATAACACGAAAAATAATACGAGAGGCAAATTGAGCACAGCCCATGCTTCAATATGGGCTTGCAAGCTGCATCCTACATCAGATAATGAACAACAAAACGCTCGATCATTTGCTTATCGCGATCACAGTGCTATTAGATCTCTGTTTCGTCGCCACTGCAATTGTCGTAGCATACTGGATCCGGTTTGAATCGGGTTGGACACCTGAAACGTTCGCGTTGCACAAAGGGGGTACCCCGCCCCTTGACGACTATTTTCGGCTCATTCCGCTGATGGTGATAATCTGGCTAATGACGTTGAAAGGGTTAAAACTTTATCGTCCGGAAAGCAACGCGACGCTTTCAGCGTTCTGGACACTCTGCAAAGCCGCTGGTATCTCCCTCATCGCCACGTTAGCCACACTCTTTTTCATCTATCATCACGATGCCTACTCGCGCTGGGTTATGCTCTTAGCTACCGGTTTCAGTCTTGTATGGTTGTTCTTGGGTCGATTGGTCCTTCACCGTTTCCGACAATCAATTCACGCCCAAGGGGTCGGCGTAAATCGACTGGCAATCGTCGGAAACTACGATGCCCGCGTCGAAAAGTTCATCAACGTCCTGAATACCAAAGCGGATAGCGGTTACGAGATGGTAGGGATAATTGCTGAACCGGTAGGTGCTGATAGTCCACACGTGCAATACCTTGGGAAAAGCCAAGAGGTCCTTGAACTGGTCCGAAAACATCGACTTGATACGCTTTTCATCGTATCACCGACGGTACCGAATGACACTATTCTGCAGATTCTTCACGCGTGCGAAGGGGTGCCGCTCCAAATCAATGTCCTGCCCGAACTCTCCGAATTTATCAGGGACAGTAGGAACACCATCACCTTTTTTGATGGCATACCGGCTCTACAATTAAGGGAGACACCCATGCAGGGTGGACGCGGCATTATCAAGCGTCTTATAGACATCGTCCTTAGCGCATTCGCGTTGATACTGCTAAGTCCCGCTTATGCTAACAATCGCTATCGCTATACGCTTGACCTCACCCGGCAGAGCGATTTTCCGTCAAGAACGGGTCGGTAGAGGTGGAAAGCCGTTCAACATCTACAAATTCCGTTCCATGCGCGCCGATGCTGAAGAAAAAGTTGGGCATGTGTGGGCAAAAAGTGATGATCCTCGGCAAACCCCACTTGGACAGTTCCTGAGACGCTGGAGTTTAGACGAATTGCCTCAATTTCTCAATGTTCTTAAGGGCGATATGAGTCTCGTCGGTCCCCGTCCAGAGATGTCTGGATTAATTGATACGTTCAGTGAATCAATTCCGCACTATCTCGCTCGGCAGCGCGTTAAGTCGGGGTATGACTGGATGGGCACAAATCAACGGCTTTCGGGGAAATACCTCCCTTGAAGAGCGGATCTCTTATGACCGGTATTACATCGAAAACTGGTCTCTCGCCTTAGATATTAAGATCATCTTGAAAACGTTATGGGCAATTAAAAAGGGTTCGCGGTAGGCATTTCAGCAGCCTAAACACACAAACCCTCTCCACCCTCGCTGGCGAGGTTTCCTGACGGAAACACCCAAGCAAAAACACCTCGCCTCTTTAGACCGCACAAGGAACTCTAAAATCCACGCTAAAAATACCGCCGCACAAAGGGCCATGCTCCCGCTTTGTAATAGCGGTGTCCACCCTCCCCGATAAAGAGCTCACACCTATCCGCAACGCCGGCAACCGTGTAGATATTTTTCAAGCGTTCATACGCCAACTCGACGTGATCTATTGGGAAAATCCCGTCATCTCGTCCCTGCAATCGCGCAAAACGGACGCGGTGCGATTAAACCTGCGACATCGTACATTTCCCCAAACCGCATTACACCCGGTACATAGTTGCATTCGCAATGGTTGATGGTCCCAATACTCCCCTCAAATGTGCAGAAATAGCAACTCGGCACTGCGACTGAAATGCGGGTTTCACAGGCAGCGGCGAAAAGTGAGACGGTTCCACCACCAGAGTTACCGGTAATCGCGATACGTTCGGCATCTATCGGAAGATCTGCTATTGCCCAATCAATGAGGCGTGACATGTCCCACACCCGTTCGCCGATCGGTGTTCGTCCAACAAGCATGCTACGCACAAGCTGGTTTCGGCAGGAGTGCGTTTTATCGGCTTGTTTATCCGCTTCCGTGCGCGTCTCGCCGAACGCCCGTGTTGTCGGTGCAATCGCGATGTAGCCTTCCTCAACGGCTGCCTGCCGAGCGATGTCGCGCTCACCTTCCAGCATATGTTCTTCCTCTGCTTCTGTGTGTGCGATGCCAGCGTAGAGATGCGGATGGTTATGTCCGTGTGGTGCGAGGATCAGCGGCACTTTGCCTTCAATCGTTTTTGGACGCAGTAGGTAAAATGGCAATGGCACCGTCGGCTCTACCCACAGATACCAACTCTCTCGGAAATGATTATCCATATCCAAGACTTCGAGTTGTTCTGCTCTCGGGACGTACCCTTCCAAATCGGATTCCATGTTGTCCAAGCCGAGGATCTCTCGCAACTTCGGACGAAAATTGGCTTGCCATGACACCAATTCTTCCCGTGTGGTCGCCCGAAATTCAAACTCTCTCGGAACGGTATCGTATAAGGTTTTAAAATGCGTTGCGGCGTTATACATTACGGGTCTCTCCTCTATGGATGCGGTTCACTTGACAAAATTCTCAGCACTGCTATAATGTGCATAATCATAGACGACACTTGCAGACCTGTCAACTCTTTTAACGACATCAGACACCCTCGTGAAACGATTTTCTAACTATGGGAATCTGTTAACCATCAACTCGTGCTTTAACATTTATAACGGAGTCGAGTTGATGGTTAAACCGCTCCATTACATTCCGCCGCCCTTCCCCAGTAACGGGCGGGACCCCGGTTTTTGGTAAAGTTGAACGCCCTCTCAATGTTGAAAGGGGGTTGGAATTAACCGAGAACCGTTGTGGAACGTAGTGGAACAACGCCCAGGTGCCAATAAATTAAAAATAAAAAAATGAAAATATTGATAACTGGCGCGAGCGGTAGGCTCGGCGCGTTTGTGATCCGAGAATTAGCGGCGGAACACTCGCTGGTACTAATGTCGCGCAGAACGCCATCCGACGAATTCTCGCACCTACCTTTTATTCAAGGGCGATCTGAACAATTTCGAGGACTGCCAACTTGCTGTTGAAGGTGTGGACGCGATCCAACACCTCGGCGCACAACCAGGACCTGTTGATCACCCAGATTTACGCGCACGTGCCGCCGAGCAGGGAATCCCCTTTGACGCAACTTTCAAAACGAATATGCTTGGCACCTATTATCTCATGCAAGCGGCAATTGAGGCGGATGTCCACACGGTTGTGATGTCCGGCAGCAATTGTGCATTAGGGACACGGCTTCCGAATCAGCCAAACACATATTCCGATAGATTATCTACCCGTAGATGAAGAACACCCCTGCTATCCTGAAGATTCCTATAGTTTTTCTAAACGGTGTGGCGAGGACTTATTGGCGAGTTATACCCGTGCTTACGGCATCCGAACCTATGTTACACGTCCTGCCGGTATCAGTCCAGAAGAACGGAGAAAGCAGATGGCAGAAGGTGCTAAACCGACAACCGCCTGGACACCGTGGCTCTGGTGTTGGGTAGGAAGTGAAGATGTCGCGAGTGCACACCGCCTGCTCATGGAGAAAGCGGATACGCTACCCCCACACGATGTCTATTTTTTGAACGCCGATGACACTTCAGCCTTGGAACCTTCTCAAGAGTTAGTTGAGCGTTTTAAACCCGAATTTCTTCCGAAGGTGAGAACGCTGCAGGGACATCAATCCTTTATCAATTGCGATAAACTTAAAAATGCTGTTGGATGGCAACACGAAACGTTATGGCGACCAGTAACGTAGTGCTTTAGCCACTTTCAAATTATGGATGTCCGCTTTGGTTCGTAGTAGGGAGACCATTCATTGCCCGTTGTTGACCTGTTCTCACTGCGAAGCAGTGCGATAATGCACGTCGCATTTGGGCGAGTACGCCGCAAAATCGCACTACTACAAACCTACCCTAAAATTCAAACTGGATAGAACAGTAGTTTTTTACCCTTTGGAGGAAATATTATGTCAACCCGTGACAGAGTACGCATCGGTGTCGTCGGTGTCGGGAGCATTTCCGTGCGCGGCATCCTGCCACATCTCACCCAAGACGATGTCCAAGATAGATTACAGGTAACGGCTGTCTGTGACCCTGTTCCCGGTAGAGCACAAGCGGCATCTGAAAAATTTAACGTCCCGCATGCGTATGAAACTTACGAGGCACTCTTAGCAGACGGACATGTAGATGCGGTCAGCATCGCATCGCCTATCGGTTTGCATTATGAACAGGGAAAACTCGCCATTGAACACGGTTTGCACGCTCACTTCAACAAAACGATGACAACTACCGTCGATGAAGCGGACGATCTGATTGAATCGGCGGCGCGTAAAGGTGTAAAATTAGTGGCTTCCCCTGGGGAAATGCTCCGTCCGATCCACCAAGAAATTCGCAGTCTTATTGCCGACGGTGCCATCGGAACGTTGACCTGGGCAGCTGCTGGTTCCGCTTTTGGAAGATACCACGAAAACGAATCCGTTAGGCAGGGTGACGATCCGCTCTCTAATATCAATCCAGCGTGGTATTTCCGTAAACCCGGCGGTGGACCTCTATACGACATGACCGTCTACGGCTTGCATACGCTGACCGGCATCCTCGGACCTGCAAAACGCGTGACGGCATTCTCTGGTGTTCGCATCAAAGAACGTGAATTTCGAGGTGAGATGCTCCCGTGCGATATGGACGACAACACCTTTATTCTGCTTGACTTCGGCAAGGCATTCTACGGTTTTGTCTACGGTGCAGCCGCCGGTTCCGTCGTCAGAGGTAGGTTGGCAATTCACGGCACCGGTGGCACGATTGAAGGCAATTTGCTGAATGGTAAATCCATTGATGCCCCGGACGGGGAACTCCCACACGTTGTGGGACCGCATCGTAGCATTCAGGAATCGCACGTCTATGAGGATATTATGCAGTTGATGGATTGGATTCGCGAGGATAAACCGACGATTGTCACGGCGGAACATGCCCGGCATGTGATAGAAATTTTCGATGCGGGATACCGATCCGCGCAGACGGGACAGGCACAAGACCTACGCACAACATTTTGACCTACAGGAGAATGGAAACAAATAGTGAAGTTGAAAACTTTGCTCGGTGATAGGACTATTTAGTTCTCTTGTAGGAGAGATCCTCGAATCCTGGGGGAAACACCCAAGCAAAAACACACATCACTGTAGGAGCAACCTCCCGGTCGCGATACCCTGACTTAGACACACATTTTGAAGGAAAAATCCTCTATGCCAAAAGCTTTATGTATCGGTGAACTTCTTATTGATTTTGTATCCACAACACCTGATGTGACGCTCGCCGAAGCCCCAGGATTTGTCAAAGCCCCAGGGGGTGCGCCTGCTAACGTTGCCGTCGGCTTAGCGAAACTCGGCATGGATGCCGGGTTTATCGGTAAAGTCGGTGCCGATGCGTTCGGCGATTTCCTTCGCGAAACGCTCCAACAGAACGGTGTCGATACCGACTATCTCATCGCAGGTGAAGGGTCCCGAACGACCTTAGCCTTCGTCGCCACCCGCTCTGACGGTATGAAGGACATTACCTTCTATCGACACCCAGGTGCCGACATCCAACTCTCTCGAGACGAAATCAATACCGACTACGTCCAATCGGCGGAACTGTTCCACTACGGCTCTGTCAGCCTCAGCCATTCACCGAGTCGAGAGGCGACGCTCCATGCAATTCAGTCTGCAAAAGCGGTGGGTGCGATGCTCTCCTACGATCCGAATTTGCGGCTGATGCTCTGGGATAACGCGAAGGATGCCAAGCACTGGATATGGGAAGTGATGCCTTACGCAGATGTCGTCAAGATATCAGAGGAGGAATGGGAATTTGTCACAGGCGATGCAGGCTTGGAGCAGGGGATTGACCGCATTCTTGGACTCGGTGTGAAACTGCTCGTTGTAACTTTAGGGGAGCGCGGTTGCTATTACACGAACGGCATCACTGATGGTTTTGTTGATGGTTTTATAGTTGACGTAGTGGATACACTCGGTGCAGGGGACGCCTTCGTCGCTGCGATGCTCATCCAGTTGATACAGCACGTCGACCTTTTATCACTTAAAAAAGTTCAACTTGATGCTATCATGCGATATGCGAACGCAGCAGGAGCATTAGCGACTCAGAAGGTTGGCGTAATTCCGGCACTGCCGACCCATTCTGAGATTGAAAGTTTCTTGTAAGATATTCTTGTGAACGGATTAAGAGGTTACATTTAAATGAGGGTGGTTCATGCCCAATGGTCCGCTTTTACGTTGAAGTGAATCTAACAATCCTTATATCAAACTCAGGTTATGCAATGCCCTACCTTCGCCTCGCTTTAACAGCGTACATGGGCCAGGAAAAATAGAAGTCATCACCCGCTGGACGGACGGTGTAATGCTCTTGTGCATCATCAGGCGAGAGTTGTGCAAACGCATCACGGATCTCCTGCACGACCGCCGGTGGGGTTTTCTCGGGACGTACCCACCAGAGAAACGACATCTGTGCGTTTCGGACGTGTGCTGTCTTTTCAAGGGTAAATCCAGCATCTGCAATCATGGCATCCCATTGAGAGGGTGGATAACCGTACACATGAGAATTATCCCGGAGTGTCTCCACACGGTTTTGCCACGCTATTAATTTCTCTGATTCCGGTGAGACAGAATCTGTCATGCAGAAGAGTCCATCTGTCCGTAAAACCCGATGGACCTCACTTAAGAATGCTCGGACATCCTGAAAGTGATGCGGGGCGAGCCGACACGTTACCAGATCCAAAGAGCGCATCAGCAAACGGCAACGCCTCGGCAGCAGCGACGGAAAACGCAATGTTTTTTATCGCTTGTTCTTGTGCAAGTTCAACCGCCTTCTCGACCATTTCCGGGGTTAGATCCGTTGCTACGACATGTGCCACCTTGGATGCAAGGGCAAACGCCGTGAAACCGGTACCTGTCGCAATATCTAACGTCTGTTCTGTCCCTTTCGGCGCTGCAAAGTCGAGTATTACATTTAGTGTATCGCCTTTGGCATGAACGCTGCTTTGCGCGTAGTAGTCGGCATGTTGGCTAAATTGTTCTTGAACCGCAGTGTGTATGGACTTCATGTATTAGTTCTCAGTTTTCGGTTATCAGTTTTCAGCTAAAGGGGTTCATGGGGATCCGGTGCGGTTGCGTGAAGACCCTACCGGGTACTTAGAGATAGTGCGAGGTTGCAAACCTCGCCAGCGGAGGGGCTTATCAATCAGGCAAGTTTTTTCATCCTGCAAATCCTTGAACCCTGTAAATCCTGATTCTGACAATTAATTGAAAACAATAACCCCGCGAGCGTTTTCTCCCGCTTCCATATCCGCAAAAGCCTCATTAATCTGCTCAAGTCGATAGTGGCGTGAAATCAGTTCATCCAATTTCAATTTGCCTTCTGTATACAGATTGAGAAGTTTCGGCATATCCACCCGTGGTTGGCAGGATCCGTAAAATGAACCGATCAATCGTTTCTCACTTGAGACAAAGCGTTGGGCAGGAATGCTGAATTCCGACGCATGATGCGCTATTCCTACAATAACGGCACTCCCAGCGGGTCGGACCATATCGTATGCCTGTACAATCGTCTTGGGATTCCCAATCACCTCAAATGCGTAATCTACGCCCAAGCCATCTGTCAACTCCCGAACGGCTTCAACGGGATCAGTCTCAGCGGCGTTGACGACATCCGTTGCCCCGAAATTTTTCGCAAAGTTGAGTTTCTTCTCCGCAATATCGACAGCGATAATCCGTTCTGCCTGTGCGAGCACGGCACCTTGGATGGCATTCAAACCGACGCCGCCGGTCCCGATAACCGCTACGGTGCTGCCCGGCTCAACCTTTGCCGTGTTAAGCACTGCCCCGACGCCTGTCGTCACGCCACATCCCACGAGTGCGGCTTTCTCTAACGAATAGTGCGGGTCAATTTTGACGAGATTCTGTTCCGGAACAACCATGTACTCCGACATCGTTGCGATCCGTGCCATCTGGAGAATCCCATCACCTGAGCTGTTGTGGAGGCGGTAAGTGCCATCCAATAGGAATCCGCGAGGCACATCGTAGGTTTGGCAGAGGCAGACCCGTTCCATTTGACACATCCGACAATTGCCACAATAACTCACAAAAGACAAAATTACTGTATCGCCGGGCTGAAAACCGGTTACATTCCTGCCAACATGCTCAATCACGCCAGCACCTTCGTGTCCGAGGGCGACAGCTGCGTCGTAGTAGATGGTCCCGGTCACCACGGACAGATCGGAATGACAGACACCACTCGCAGCGGTCCGGACGAGGACTTCGTTTTCCTTCGGATCATCTAATTCAAGCTCCTCAACAACGACAGGTTGATTGTGTTCATACATAACAGCAGCACGCGTTTTCATGTATTTTGGCCTCCATTGCCGGTTTACCTATACGGGTGGATCTTAATCCGTTCTTAAGCTCACTGAGGTGAATCCACTTCTCGAATAACGAGCAAGGTGAATTTTCTACATCCTGTAGATGGACTTTTAACAACCTTCATCAACGATAAGCGTGACTACGATGTTTGATTCGATAAATTTCAACAATGTGACGCTGATCATCTATTTGATAGAGGATTCGGTAATCCGCGATTCGGATTCGCCAATGAGAACCTGACTGCCCTGAAAGTTTGACAACTCCAGGTGGGCGTGGGTTATTTGCCAATTGCACTAACAGGGCATCAACGCGTATCCTAATGGTTTGCGACAATCTTTGTAATGCTTGTTCAGCACGACGTTTTAAATAGACAGTATAGCGCGTCGGGGCATTCAAAGTTTTCCTTCTTTTTTTAACTCGGCCCGAATTTCCCGATAGTCGCGAGAAGCCGTCTCGGTTTCAACCGCGGCATCCATCTCTAAAATGTCCTCTAAATCCTCCAGGTGCTTCATGAGAAGGCGATACTCTTTCATTGATAGAACGACAGCGGTTTTCCTGCCTTTGGTGTTGACAAGATATTTTGGGTTGATATCGAGCATAAGGATTCTCCTCTTTTCCATCTGTGAATCTGACGATAGGCTAATCACAAGCCGCGCTTACAATAAAGATTCCAGATAACTTCTCGCCTTACGCATTGAGTCAACCGGATCCGATTCACCTTCATAGACAATCGAGAGACATCCGTTATAATCAACACCTCGCAAGATTTCTAAAACGCGAGGGTAATCCAACCATTCCTCTACACCGCTATCAATCTGATAAAACTTCGTACGGACATAGACGGCGTGAGGTGCTGTCTGTTCAATACTTGCATAGCAGTCGTAACCCGGATGCGAAGAGCCGCGATGTCCACTCGCACCAGGGGACCCTGCAAATTGTCCAGTATCCAAGATATGTGTGAAATAAGGATGATCCGTTTCATTCAGGGCGCGTAAAACAGCAGCACCATCGCGTGTAACGTTGTTGTGGTTGTGATTCTGTAACCCGACGAGGATTCCTGATTCATAGCCGTATTCAGCGACCTCCTTGAAGGCTTCAATCATCGGTGGCCATAAAGTCTCTTCATCGTCGCAGTCCTCAGGTACGTAGGCGGCAAAGACTCGGACAAGCGGGCAACTCATAAAAGCGGCAATGTCAATCCACTGCTTGATGAGCGCGACTTGTTCCGGATGTTCGGCAACAGGACGACCAAAGTTGTTGCTAACCCCGATATAACCTAACGGTAATCCTTTCCGCGCAAGATCTTTCTTCAAGTCTCGTAGATAGCCTGCATCGGTGGATTCAAACGCGCTTGAATGTAACTCAATAACATCAAAACCGATATCGTACACAATTTGTGCGAAAGCAGAAGCAGTAGTATTTCTCACATTCAGAGACATAGTCCCTAATTTCATCATAACGGCGTTCTCCTTTGATCGTCCTGGGTGGTAGAAAACTTTCAAGTGCGTTTGTCTAACTCGTCCTCTGTCCTATCGACGTATTCTTGAAGGGATATTCGGGTCTGCTGGTGTAACACTGTGAGGAATTTCCGCAAGGTTTGCTGAAGATCTTGGAGTTGATGCCGGTCGGCCTCAAGGTCCTGAATTCGTGGATCGAAAAGCTCCAACCGGTTGAGTCGGTCAAAAATGTCTTCAATCAGGTTCTGGATCTCGCTGAACCTCCGCCGCCCGTCTTCAACCTGCTGTCGTTCCTCTTCGAGTTGCTGAACTTTATCTGCCATGTCAGCGAGTTCTCTGCGTGTCTGCGTCAACTCTTTTTGGAGATTTTGCGTAAAACTTATTAATTTCTCTAAGGTATTCGTTGTTTTATAAACCGGCTGTCCCGGATTACCAAGATTTTTTTGCTCCTGAAGCGGCGGGCTCTTTTCTGGCGACAATGGCGTGGCAATTTCATCCGATGGGTTAGCCGGCGCGGAGGCATCTGTGCCTCCAAAAATGCCAATTAACTTAATATGATACGAAAATAGGGTATAAGTTTCTCTTCGCTCGCTGTATGTAACTTGCACCCGTATCTCTTCATCAACCTTCAGGGTACTGAGACGGCTATGTATATTCCGAATCACTACCTCATTGTATCCGAATGAGTTATTTTTCTTTGGATTCAACTGCCGGAGGTATCGGTAGAGTTCCAACCATCGGGGCTCTCGCGCTCCAACCCTTCGGCCGTTAAAACGCCGACGACTTCGGGATTCTCAGGATCTGATGACCCATACTCGTCAGGTATGACGATATCCAGCGGCACCTCTCCGTGAACAGCCTTCATCCCGAGAGTCCACTCCGTTTCCGATATTCTACTGCTGTACACAATGAAGTCGTAGGTAATTGCCATAGTTTTCTCTTTTCATGAAAGCATTTATTTTTGTAAAAGCGACTTCTGAATCTTGACACCTTTTCTACAGGGTAACCCTCAAATTACGACATCCTAACTTTCGCGAACTACGTCCGTAATCTCGACATGACCTGTGCGAGTTTCGGTATGCAAGAGGTACCAACCCCTTCTACAGCGAAAGATGCGACACAATGTGCGAAGTTCAGTGCCGCCTTGATAGAACGGCTTTGATAATAGTTAATCAAAAAGGCGGTCGCGAAAACATCACCAGCACCCGTCGGATCTACCTCTGTAACGGAGTAGGCAGCGGATCCAAACTGCGTTCCATTTTGAAAAAGGGTTGCACCCTGTGCGCCTTGTGTCAGGACAACGATCCGGGTTAACCCGATATATCTTTCGAGTTCATCCGGATAACTACGGAGATCCTCATCACTCAGGATTAATACATCAATATGAGGTAAGATGTCCTTCGCTGTCCCCCACCGCTTTGCCTCAACCCTACCACTGGCATCCCACTGTCGGAGCCAGCCTTGCGGTGTCGCACCTATTAGCGTTTCGTTGCTGAAACAGTGAACGACTTCAGCGGAAACCTCATCTGCAATCGGACACAAGTAGGCTATATCACTCGTACGCCATTCGACAGGAATATCGCTTCCCTTTAATTGTTGTGCGCTCCCAAGGATAAATTGCTGCCTGTGTCCCTTTACGTCGTATTGGTTATCAAAGATTGTTGTCTCAGGAGATTCATGATAGACTGTCTTTATGCCTTCTAAAAGTGGATTCTCCCGATCAAAGTTCGAGCCAACAGCTGTAACTGCTCGAGCATGGTGCCCGAGGTTTCGCGCAGTGAGTGTTGAGTACGAAGCAGAGCCACCAAGGATATAACCGTTTGGCGAGACATCATAACAGAAGTGACCGACCGATAGAAAAGTCGTAGGCATTGGAGAGGATATATTCATTTTCGCGTTATAATTCAAAGACAGGCTCCATATGTGCCCACCATTCGTCTGGCTGTGCCTCCATTACTGGTTCCTGGAAGGTTCTCATCAACTCATCCCAAGCTTTACATTTCGGATTCTCTTCGAGATAGCGGGGAAAATCGCGCGCTATATCAAAGGTATCAATCGTTTCCATTACCATAAACAGACGGCATCCCAGCAGGTAGATATTCATCTTCGTGATGCCAACTGATTTCAGTGCCTCAATCACTTCGGGCCATGCCTCTCGATGGTACGCTTTATACGTTTCAATAACAGATGGATCGTTTTTGAGATTCAGTGTTAAGCCGTAGTGTTTCATTTTAGTTTTTCCAGTGCCTTTCGGATTATTTCAGCATGATCAAACGCGAGTTTCGGTCTTTTTAGAGTAGGGTTTGACTCGCAAGTTTGGTCGAAAAGAGCCGTCGAGAACCATGCAGCTGCTGAGGCATCAGATCCAGCTCGAACGTTTCGCGTAGGCTCTTCAATAACTGCTGCGTAGGCGATAGTAATTACGCGCCCGCGTGGATCGCGAAACGGTGCCCCAAAGATCCCAACCTCGGTGAGTGCTACATCGGACACCCCCGTTTCCTCCTCCAATTCACGCAGTGCTGCCGCTTCCAGCGTTTCCTCCATCTCAATGAAACCACCCGGCAGTGCCCAGCACCCTTCAAACGGGGCATGCTTACGCTGAATCAACAGCACATCCGAGAGTTCACCTGTACAAACCACAATATCAACAGTAACAGCAGGACGTGGATAGTCGTAACTAAACATTGTGTTTTTTAATACTCGATTCGGTTGCTGGATAAAGCCGAAACGCTCTTTATTATTAGTGTTTATATGATACCAAATTATAATATTTTCGTCAACATTTTTCTCACAATTGAACAGAGCTGTTCAGTTCTTCTGTAGGAGGGATTTCCAAATCCCGATCCGTCTTCTGTAGAAGCGATCTCCTACCTCCGTTGGTAAGATCCAAACGCCCTTCAGCATTCCGAATTGAATATCCTTTCATGAAGAAAAACCAAACGGGTTACAACAAACAGGACAAACCAGACAACAGGCACACAGGATTTATAATGGTTCGTTAATCATAAAGCAAGTCACGGGAAACTATAGTAAAGCCTACAATTATTGAGATACCAAAGCATTGAGGCAATTTATCTATAGAACTCACTACGGATTCAGGTAATTTTTTCTTTCCTTGAAATAAGTGTACATACGGTGCTATAATATCCTTTGGACTTGTAGACAGTACCTGAACATTTTACCAAGGCAGGTAAATCGAGAATGAAGGTCCTCCTTAAGAAAAACATCCCAAATGCCCTTCTCATTTCCATCGGGCTTCATATTCTCCTGATGATGCTACTTGGAACCTTATATCGACAAAGACTCGATTGGCAACCCAAGCCGGTCACGGAATTTGACATCATCAAAATTCGATTGCGGAGTTCCGTGCGTCCATTGAAACGGCTTCGCCACCTGCCACTACAACCCTCCACAGTTCCTGAAAATATGCAACAGATGGAGACGGTCGAGGTGCAACCTCCCGCGCTTCAGACATCGGCAGCACCCGTATCGCATCAAGACGCCACCGTCGAATTACAAACACCCGATCTTGCCTCCACTGCGCAAGGAGAACATACCTACGGAAAGGGGTTACAGGCTACGCCTGTATCAGGATTAGGCGGCAGTGGTGCAGGAAGTGGACTGGGTTCACGCGTTTCAGGCAATGGAAAAGCCGGGGGCACGACTCGCGGCTTTTTAGGCGGGACGAACGGGCAACCCTCCTCCGACATTGGGGGGTTAACGCTTGCTGATCTGGCACTCACCAGGGTAGGGAGACATATCGTCGCAAACCGTGGATCCGATCTCGTTGACATCGTCTTTGTTATTGACGGCAGTGGGAGTATGAAAAACGATGTTGACGCGGTGCGCGAACACCTCAGTGCTATGACGGATCTCTTTGATAGCGCAAGTATGGACTTCACTATCGGCATCGTTACCTTCCGAGCTGGAACGGGATATGGTTTACTCGGTTTGGATTTTGAGGTGATCCCTCAAACGCGTTCCGTCACTCAAATTAAGAAGGTGCTGGCACAATTGAAATTCCGCGGAGACGAGAACGGTCTGGACGCTCTCATCCGAGCCGCCGATGAGGTAGCGTTCCGACAAGACGCTGAGGTCCATTTCATATTTGTCACAGACGAATATGTAAGCGGGGCATACTCTTCAATAGACGTGATGGTAAAAATGAAAACTTCCAAAATCAAGGTAGATGTTATCGGACGCGATGAACCGTTTCAGAAGTTTATCGCCAAGAGTACGGGTGGCTTATGGCTGCCGATTTCAAGTCTCACGATCCAGTAAAACTATAGTCAATTAGCGGTGATAACCGATGCACAAAAAGGATAAACACTACGCCTTGGGATTGGCGTTTCTTTTCCTTGGGGTAAGCGCGTTTACCGCCAGCCATCATGAAATGTGGCGCGACGAGATTCAGGCATGGCTGATCGCCCGAGACAGCGGTTCAGTCTTTGAGCTTTTTGACGCACCTCAAATATGAGGGGCATCCGGGCTTGTGGCACCTGTTTCTCATGCCATTCACGCGCATCACACACTCCCCTGTCATCATGCAGGTGTTCCACCTCCTGATTGCGGGGGTTACCGTTTATCTCTTCGTCCGTTACGCCCCTTTCAACCTTCTCCAGAAATTCCTTTTCTGTTTCGGCTACTTCGTCCTCTATGAATACACTATTCTTGCGAGAAACTATGCGCTCGGACTTCTGCTGATAACTGTTCTTTGTATCCTTTTCAAGGCGCGTTACAAACGCTTTATTTGGGTGGGTTGTGTGCTATTTCTGCTTGCACATACGAGTGTCCATGCATTAATTCTCGCCATAGCAGTAGGCGTCGCACTCTGCTGCGAATACGTCTGTCACTGCTGTCGTCTAAACCCCTTTATCCAAGAAGGCGAAACTACAGAAGATAAACGAGCCGTCTGGATCGGGTTCGTCCTTATTGGAATCGGTATTACGACATCAGTTTTGCAGCTCATGCCTCCACCAGATACAGGGTTCGCTGTTGAATGGAAGTTTGCCTATGAATCGGAAGAGTTGAGCAAGGTTATCAAACTCATCTCTCACGCCTTTCTTCCTATTCCCGAGTTCTCGCTTAATTTTTGGAACAAGCACCAATTAGAAACGTACCCCGTCTTCCAATCCATCCAAATCCCGTTCTGCTGTCTTCTGATGCTCTGCAGTATATTGTTACTGCTCAAACGTCCTACTGCGCTCCTCATATATCTCGTGGCGATGTTTGGACTTTTATCTTTTTTTTATATCAAGTATTACGGTAGCATGCGGCACCACGGATTCTTATTCATCACACTCCTGATGACCGGTTGGATTCATAAGGACTGCCCTGAGATAGACCTCCGATTCAAAATTCTCAACGAATTACCACAACGGTTGTTTTCCCCGTTTTTCACTTTCATCTTTATCTGTCATTTCATCGGAGGTATAACCGCCATTGGACTGGAGCATCAACATGTCTTCTCTTACGGGAAACAGGTGGCTGAATATCTCCAAGAGAACGACATGCAAGATATGCAGATGGTCGGCGAGATAGATTACGCCGCCAGCACCATTGTCGGATACCTCCAAAAAGATCAGATTTATTACGTACACGGCAATCGATACGGTTCCTTTGTCAAATGGGACGATGTCCGCATGCCTGATGTCGATGTCCAGGACATCCAAGTCATTGAGGCAGCAGAAACGTTAAGGACCAAGACATCCCAAGATATTCTCATTATCATGAACCGCGCTTTAGACCCGGAACTGATTGCACAGCACAACCTCACCCTCTAACCGAATTCACAGGTTCAATCGTCGATGACGAAGGCTTCTATCTCTATCTAATGCCCAGCACCTTGATAAACTCCCTCTTCTGTAGGAGGGATCTCCGAATCCCGACTCTTTCTGACGGCTGACCGCTGACTGCCGACCGCCCTTTTTGTAGGAGCGACTTCTGGTCGCGACACCCCTTCAAAACCGGTAAAAATCAAATATTCCCTTGACTTTTCGTCTAATACAGGGTAAACTTAAAATAAGTTATATTGATGGAAAAACATCATCCCTGATCCATTGTCACTCTAAATGCAATGAAGGTTACGATCCCTATGCCAAAACAGAACTTCAACGAAAAACTGACTGCACTCCTCAAAACCCATTCCGACTTCCTTGACGACGCAGGTGAACTCATCCCCGCCGCCGTCAGAGACCACGCATGGCAACTCAACCACGACCTCATCAAACTACTGCTCACCGATAGATAGTAATGGCAATGAACGAGTGTGGCGAAAAACACGTCCATCCTTTTTAAAGCACGTCAATGATAATGAAATAAAAATAGAGCAGAACAAATCGGGTCAATGGAAGGTCAAGATTATTGACAAAATAAAGGAAGGTACCCGACCTAAAAGTGTTTGGACTGACAGTAGATATGACGCATCTTCGCATGGAACCAAACTATTAAAGAACCTTTTTGAAGGGCAGAAAGTTTTTAGCTATCCCAAATCAATACATGCTGTCAAAGATATTATTGAAATATTCACAGAGAAAGGGGGAGACGATATGATCCTTGATTTTTTTGCAGGAAGTGGAACAACCGCTCATGCTATTTTAGAATTGAATAAAAAAGACAACGGCAGCCTGCAGTTTATTTTAGTGGAGCAGATGGATTATGTTGAAAACGTTACCGTCCCGCGTGTAGAAAAAGTAATGAAAAAAGAAAATATTGGCGATTTTATCTATTGCGAGTTGATGCAATATAACCAAGCCTATATGGACAAAATCCAATCCGCGCAATCCTCCGAAGCACTCGTAGCCCTCTGGCGAGACATCGCCGAAAACGCATTCCTGAACTGGTACGTCAACCCCGAAATGCCTGAAGAAGCAATAAGCAATTTCATCGCCATCGGCGACGTAGAAAAACAAAAGCACCTACTCGCTGAACTGCTGGATAAGAACCAACTCTACGTCAACCTTTCCGAAATAGAGGACGCGACTCATGAGCGATTCCTATTTCAAGAATGTACCCTCTATGCAACCAGATGCGCGCAAAACGGCACTCGCATTCCACGCTAAAGATGATTTACCGGAAGTCCGTAGGGATGTTTTTCAGATTTTGCGTAATACTGAAGGGTTACGCTTTTTTGCCGTTGTTTCCGATAAATTGAGTGTTCTTGAATACGTGCGCCAACGCAACAAACGGGAACCCGCTTATCGGTATCATCCCAATGAACTTTACGACTCTCTGACTGAGCGTTTGTTCAGAGAGAGACTACATCAGAGTAGTGGATATGATATTATTTTCTCAAAACGCGGTAAGTCTGATCGAACAGCTGCCTTGCATCAAGCACTTGAAGCTGCACGCTCCCGTTTTGTCACGCAACAGGAGATAACCAGCCTCGCATCTTTAAACATTGCCGTGGCAACTCCAAAGGAATACGTAGGTTTTACAAGCTGTTGATTATTTTATCTGGGCGTTACAGAGGCTTTATGAACGAGGTGAAGATCGGTATTTGACATATCTATGGCAGGCTTTTGGGCTTGTACACGACATCGACGACACACGCAAGACGCATTATGGGGTTTATTATACACAGAACAAACCGCTCACGGCAGAAGCCTTAAGGGGAAAAAAATAAAAAAAAGCCAGGGATATAGGATTGTGCTGGGCCGTAGCCTTCCAATCACACGGATGAACCCGAATTTTGTCCACTGGCAATTATATAATACTACATATTGCGTAATATGTCAAGTAATTCTTTCAACAATCACCGATAAGGACAATGGCACCTACTGCAATTCAATGTTATGTTAACCTCTTCAAAATAGAGGATGCGGATTTTGGGGTTAGTGAGGAAGATAAGGCGTTGAAAAAGGTGTTTTATGGTCCCACCACTACCAACATTTAATTTGACTCTTTACCTCTTATATGCCGCTGCAGAAACCGATATTGAACAACTAAGGAGTATCCATGAAATCCTGGAAGAAGCCAACCAATGAAATGGTAGATAAAGCCTTGGATTCAGTTAAGAAAGTAACCGCTCGTAAGTATTTTTTCTCGCGCTTAGAAAATCCATTGTGGCTCAAACCGCTTACCAAACGTAATTGTTTTAAATCACCTCCCAAAACCCAACGATTTAATGATGGCACCGTTATATACCCATACTGGCACGAGATTCAATATCTCAAAAACGTGTGTCGTGATGCCGCCGATGAAGTTGTCAAGTTGTTGATAAATCTTCCTGATACCGATAACCCAGTAGTCTATGACGGTATATTAGATATTGCTTTGCAGCTTCCTATAGAATACTCTGTGAAACTTAAAGACAAAATACTTGAGTATGCTGGTATGGAGCATCAATTCCGAGCCTATAGATATGCAAAACTATTGGAGCGTTGGACGAAGGAAAATCAGACCTCTACAGCATTGGAACTCACAAAAATACTGGTTAAGTTTGCACCCGACCCGCAGTCAGAGAGTAAACAGAAACGCCGTATAGAAAATCCCATGGACAGTAATACTTTGCTTGAACCTTCACCCCGTATGGTACCTGGGGAATACCGTGATATAATGTTAAAAGGTATCCGGCCTCTTGCTGAAAGTGAACCCTATGATGTTGCTCGTCTCCTTATTGATGCCACAGTGAACATGATCTATTTACGAAGACATAAGCAAGATTTTAATAACGAGGAAGACAATTCCTGGTCCTGGTGTCCTTGCCTCTACAAACCCGGTAAAGACGGTGGAAGTTCTGAGGAAACACTTATTCATACATTGACCTTTGCATGCGAGAAGGTGTTTGAGAAACCGCACAATGCAATAATAGATTTAGATGAAACTTTAAGGGATCAACATTGGAAAATTTTCAAACGTCTGCGTCACCATCTTTATGCCCAATACCCAAATGAACAGACCAAACCGTGGATTCTGGAGTTGATTCTAACACTTGAATATTACAATCGGTGGAACCATTCCTATGAGTTCCAACTGATGATACGACGTGCTTGCGAGCATTTTGGGGAAACGTTACTCACGGAAGAAGAACGAACACAAATCTTTGATGCTATTCTTGCGGGACCATCAAAAACGGATTACCAAAGGAAGGTAGTGGAGTTTTGGGGTATTGAATTTAATGATGAGGATTTCCTGCAGTATAAACTTCATCGCCATCGCATTCAGCTTACGCCTTTCGCCCCTGTGCTGTTTGGAAAATATGAAACCTACCTCCAAGAGTTAGAAACTGAAGGCACTTCCCGGATTTTTGATGAGGACTATATCCCTTCTAAAACAGAGGTTCGTGAGGTACCTGTATCTAAACGGAGTCCCTACTCACACCAAGAACTTGCAAAGTTAACAGATGATAATCTTCTCAACTTCATAAATGCTTGGGATGACGAAGATAAATTCCACGAAAATGAAGACTATGTAGAAATTAATATTGAAGCACTTGCCAACGCTTTTCAGACCGTTTTCAAAGAGTCCATCATTCCTGATCCTGTCAGATTTAAGTTTTGGATGGAAAATCGAGAACGGATCGAGAGACCTATCTACGTGCGGATGATGATTTATGCAATGCAGACACACGTCAAGACAAAGAATTTCGACAAACTTAAAGAATGGTTAGCATTCAGCGAATGGGTACTTTCACATCCTGACCAAGAGCACAGTACAGATTATAGAAGTGGTGACAAAACCAGAGAAAATCGGAACTGGTCCAACGCGAGGCGAGCAGTCAGCGACTTTATCGGTGTATGTTTTGAAAAGGAGGCTGACGTACCCATTACTGTCCGAGGACAACTCGCAACACTTCTGGAAATGCTTTGCTTGCAATTTGATTGGCGATTGGATAAAAACAAGCCAACAGTCTTGAATCAATATGACCCACTCACCGAGGGGATCAATAATACGCGGAGTCTTGCACTACAGGAACTCATCACATTCGGTCTCTGGTTACAGGCACATCACTCAGAGAGCGAAGTTTCCGAGGTAACAACAATTCTTGAGAGACGTTTTTCTCAAGAAACAAAATATCCTTTGACCCTGCCGGAATACGCCATTTTGGGCAAGAATTATCTGTCGATTTACAGTCTTAATGAGAAATGGGCAACTGATCATAAATCAGACTTTTTCCCACAAAAGAAACGTCCCGAATGGGTGGCGGCATTTAGTAATTTTGTGCTCTGTAACCGGGCAGTTAAGCCAATCTTTAAGATTCTTAGAGATGACTTCAATTTTGCCTTACAACATTTGTTTGATTTCAAAAATCGCGATCGAGGCGGTCACGAACCAATTGATGTCCTTGGTGAACGCCTTTTTAACTATTATCTGTGGGAAATGTTTCCACTTAACGGTCAAGACAGCCTACTTGAGCAATTTTACCAACGAACAGATAAAAAACGAGAACATTGGGCAAATCTGTTCGATGATATCGGTCACCGTTTATGGAACAGTGGGAAGAACCTAAATCAAAATATGAAAGATAAAATACTTGCCTTTTTTAAGTGGCGTTTTGAGCAGGAAGAACCGACGGAACTAAAGCATTTTACCTTCTGGTTGGAAGCCGAGGGTCTGGACGTCGAATGGCGCTTGGAATCGTATTCTAAAATTTTAGATGTCTGTATGGTGGAAGGGGCAGAAATCCGATTAAAGACATTGTGTGATATGCTTCCAGATCACACAGCGAAAGTAATCGAGTGTTTCTTTAAGTTAACCAAATGGAGCAAAGAAGACAACCTCTACATTCGGGCAGAGGAGGCAAAAACTATCCTGAAAGCAGGGCGTGAAAGCAGTGACGAAAGGGCAGCAAAATGCGGCGCAAGCGCATGAAAATCTGCTCCGTGAGGGTAGATTTGATCTGTTGGATCTGGATGATTGATGAAGATGTTCTCCAACTGAAGAACACGACGAATTGAAAACGCTGGTTCACCAGCACATCCAAGAAACTTCCCGAAGAGAGGAGGGAGCAACAATGGCACAGACAATGGCTGAGTATCTAATGGAACAGGGTCAGAAACTTGGTGAAGAACGCGGTGAAAAACGGGGACAAACTCAGGCGAAACGTGAAGCAGTCCTGAAACTGCTCCGCCTCCGATTTGATTCCGTTCCCGAAGCCGTTGCCAGTAGGATTACCTCAATACGGAGTTTATCTCGACTTGATGCTCTTTTTGAAAGTGCCGCAACCGCCCAAACACTCGATGACATCGACTGGAAAAACTAAGGTTGATGATGCTTGAGCAATTCCTTCATGAACAACTCGAAATCGCGTTCAACTTTGGGATCCCCAAACCCGAAATGCCGGATAGCATTACGCAAAATCTGAATCCTGCATTTGAACTCCGTCCCTACCAAGAAGACGCGTATGCGAGTTTTATTCACTATTTTAATAACGATCTCCCAAATAAAGAGAAACCCCTACATCTGCTGTTCAACATGGCGACCGGTAGACGACTATCATGGAAAACAGTGAAACACCGGTGCAACGGGGAAACCAAAGCAGCCGAGACGTAAAGATAGTTGGTATTGAACAGAATATCGTTAGATCTGCCATTGCGCGCAATCCGTTTTTCACGTTCGCATCGCTTAAACGGTATCTCCCGCGCTTGACATCCATCCGAGAATTTATCACCTCAGAAAACTATCTGGGAGGTTTGGCAATCACCTTCAAAGGAAACCTCGCTAACTTGGAAGAGAATCGCTCCACAAAACTGGCAGCATGTGAAGGACTGCTCAGTCAAATCGAATCCGAAATACGCAAAGAGATTACCGAATACGAAGGCACGAAACACTTTTATGAGCAGCACATCCGTGCTGTTTTCACCGACAAAACCCTTAAGTTCAGTGTAGACACACCGCGTGCTGATGATAGCGACTCGGCGTATCTGGTCAAAGTCAGCGACTGGTTCGCTTTTGATACCCTCTACGGCACGAGTGAAGAAAAGGCGTTTGTGCAGATGCTGGACAGATGGATTCAGGAATCAGAGGAAACCTATGAAGGGTGTCCCTTCATTCTATCACGAGAAATACGAAAATCAATTCAAGGACGACCTTAATGCGGCATTGACAGAGACCATCCAAATGCAAGAGCAAGATGACCGAATCTGATTAATATTATTATCAAATTAATGGCTTAGATGGGATAGAGGCTCCTTATCGGTTCACAAGCGTGGACTTTTGCCTGAAACCCTTATCCAACAACCCAATTACGCTACACCGATCCTCCTGAAAATCCTCTAATCCAGCAAATCCTGATTCAGACAATTTATCCGCTGATTGCTGACTGCTGATCGCTGACCGCTGATTGCTGAAAACGGAACGTCCTTATGCGCAAAAACTTTTTGCTTGACAGAATCTGAAATAAGTGCTAACATAATTAAGTGTTGTTTTCGTCGGAGATACACAAAAAACGGAGAGTTTCCTAAGTAGATGCCAAAACGTAGAAGAAAGCCCAGAAACGCCGATGCCTCGGATGCGAGCGGAGAAGATAACGTAGTACTGCGTGAGACACTACCCTTGCAACTACGCTACTACGGTGACCCTGTTCTTCGTAAAAAAGCCGAACCGATTACAGAGATCACAGAGGCAGAACTCCAGATTGCTGAACAGATGTTAGAGACACTGTACACTACAGGCACTGGAATTGGGCTCGCCGCGACACAAGTCGGTATTTTGAAGAGACTTATCATCGTTGACATAGGCGAGGATGACGATGAGGAATACGAACCTCTGGCACTGTTTAACCCCGAAATTCTGAGCTTTGAGGGAGAAATTGTTGCCGAGGAAGGATGCCTCAGTATCCCCGATGTAACCGCTGATGTGAAACGTCCAGAACAAATTGTCGTTGAGGGGATTAATGTCCAGCGTGAACCCATCCGTATTGAAGCCGATGGCTTATTAGCACGCGTTCTGCAACACGAAATAGATCATCTCAACGGTATACTTTTTATTGATCGGATCAACGGATTAAAGCGCCGTTTGCTGAGCGATGAATTGCTGAGAGTGCAACAAGCCCAGCGACCCTCTTAATATTGTGAACTCGCAGTCTGTGCGACAGACGGAGGCTATTTCGGCGAAATTTGTAAGCCGAAACTTGCTATTGAGAAATATGCCAAAACATAAACTTGAACCTATCCTACAAACAAAACTAAACCAACTCTATGCGTGCCTGCACGCTTATGAGAAGGTCATCGTTGCATTTTCTGGTGGTGTTGATAGCACATTTCTCGCAGAGGCGGCACAACACGCACTCGGTAATAACGCTCTTGCCGTTACTGCCATTTCGGATTCCTATCCGATCCGAGAGATGCAAGCCGCGCAAGATATCGCCAAACAGATCGGGATCCGCTTTGAAACCGTCCACACGGAAGAATTAGAATTGGAGGGTTACGCAAGCAACCCGACGAACCGATGCTTTTTCTGCAAGACGGAGCTATTCGATAAGTTAAGTCCCATCGCTGAAAAATACGATGTTGGAACGATTATCTACGGCGCGATCCCGGATGATGTCGGCGACCATCGCCCTGGAATGGATGCCGCGAAGGGGATGGGTATCCAAGCCCCTTTAATTGATGTCGATCTGACGAAAGCAGAGATTCGTGAGATTTCAAAGGTGTGGGAACTCCCGACATGGGATAAACCCGCATTTGCCTGCCTATCTTCACGGTTCCCTTACGGCATGCGTATCACCCGTGAATTGTTGCGCCAGGTGGATGCCGCCGAGCAATTTCTCTACGATTTAGGCATTCGTCAATTCCGTGTCCGACACCACGGCGACCTCGCACGCATTGAACTCGAAGCGGAGGAGATCTCGCGGATGCTTGCAAAAACCGTGCGCCACGACATCAGCACCTACTTTAAAACACTCGGATATATGCATGTCGCGCTCGACCTGCAAGGGTATCGTTCTGGGAGCCTGAACGAGGGGGTCACAATTTCGTAATATCGGAAACCTGCATGCGGCTAACTAACATCGGAGGCACACAAATGTACGACCTAAAAGGTGTTATAGCGGTTATAGTGGCATATCCGGTCCATATTATGAGTTTTGTAGGTTCTATTTTACTTCTCGGTCTTGTTCTACCAAGACGGAGGAGGCAGCGTAAGCAGCTACTGATTTCGACTGAACCTCTCACTGAAAAGAAGGGGTTAACACAGAGCGAAAAGGCATTCCTAACAGGAAAGATTCGGGACAATAGCACCGCAAGCCTCAAGAAAAGTTTTGCAGGCAAAGCGAATCCTGTTTATATAACTTTAACTGCGATTGGTTTGATTGTCGTCTTTTTTCTTTGGATTGCCTGGATGCTTTCTGACCCCCCAATGAGCCCTGTTATTTCTAAAATCCTGGAGCTACTCCTTGGAGGTATTATTACTTTAGCATTTTTAGGGATGCTTGCTGCGGGTATCATTGGCTGTTTCTTTCTCTTGAGGTCCTTGTTAAAGAGAGGTCCAAAGATGCATCATTTTCGTAGGGGTCATCCGACACAGCACCTAAAAAAACAAGGAATAAATAATCAAACGTAGTAAAATTTAACATGTCGAATCAACAAACACAACCGCTTATCGGCGTAGAGTCCTTTAGTTGGAAGAAGTGGGATGCTTGCACACACTGCGGGCTTTGTCTGCCAACCTGTCCAACCTATCGAGAATTAGGTTTAGAAACGGATTCACCAAGGGGTAGACTATATCTCATGGGGAGTGCCTTCAAGGATGAAGGTGCCACCCCGCTTAGCGAAGAATGGTCAGAATATATCTACAGGTGCTTAGACTGCCGCGCGTGTGAAACCGCCTGTCCTTCTGGTGTCCACTTTGGTGAACTGCTTGAGCAGGCACGCGCCATCTATGAACAGAACGCACCCCGCTCAGCAACTTACCGATTCTGGACGAACCTTGTCTTTAAACAAATTCTACCGAATAAAGAACGGTTGGATCTGATCTTTGAATTGATGTGGCTCTACCAGCGACTCGGTATCCGATGGCTCGTTCAAAAAACGGGTATCCTGAAACTGATGGGACAACTCGGGACAGATGGAATCATTACTCCCGAAGATCCCATCACCGCAACTGAAATATACGATACGCGACATTACACCCACTGAAGGCGAAACCCGATATCGCGTCGGATTCATACCCGGGTGCATCATGAACCAAGTCTTCACTGAGACGAACCTCGCAACCATTCGGGTCTTAGCACAGAACGGATGTGAGGTGGTCACCCCGCGACAGCAGACCTGTTGTGGTGCCTTACATCTTCACAACGGTGTACGAGATGTCGCTTCATCTCTCGCTAAGCAGAACATTGATGCATTTGAATCGGAGGACTTAGACGCGATCATTATCAACTCTGCCGGTTGTGGTGCGACGCTCAAGGAATACGAAGCACTTTTAGAACACGATGCGGCTTACGCCGAGAAAGCAGAACGCTTCAGCCATAAGATGCGAGACATCAGCGAATTCTTAGCTGAGATAGAGATGGTCGCGCCGAGAGGAAAAATCGAAAGACGCGTTACCTACGATGAACCTTGCCATCTTCTTCACGGGCAAAGCGTCCAGACGCAACCTCGTAAGGTCCTACAAGCGATACCGGGGTTGGAATTGATTGAATTAACCGAATCCGAATGGTGTTGTGGGAGTGCTGGGATCTATAACATCACACAGCCGGAACTCTCACAGGAAATTTTAGAACGGAAGATGATGCACATCGCCGAAACCGATGCGGACATCGTCGCGACAGGAAATCCCGGCTGCTTGCTCCAGATTCAACTCGGCATCCAAAAACACGGACTATCCATGAAAGCAATGCATCCTGTCAATCTCTTAGACTACGCCTATCGTGGTATCTCCCCAGAGGATTTTTTGCCTGAGCAGTAGGGAAATTGCGAAACCGTTAAGTCTTTGGTTTACATTCAAACTGTTTTCACTTCTACCAAGGTGTGGTGAAATCTTTTGTGAAATTGCTTCGTTAAAGAAGCATCCTATGCAATAAAACATAAATCCAATTCAAGAACAATGAGCTGACCATCGGTCAGATCACATCAATGCAAATAGTTAAAACAATGTTTTTATCGGATAGAGATATTATTAAGTATATGAAAGAGGGGAGAATCAAAATTTCCCCCGCGCCCGACTTGGAAACACAACTCGGCAGTTGCTCTATCGATTTCAGATTGAGCAATACCTTTCGTGTGTTTGAGCATAGTAAATACCCGTATATTGATCTGCGTGCAGAGATTGATACCAATGACCTGATGCGGAGGGTTGATGTCCCTGATGGGGATGCCTTCACGATGCAACCGGGTGAGTTTGTCTTGGCAGCAACGCAGGAGACCCTTGAATTAGCAGACGATGTGTTGGCACGGCTTGAAGGCAGAAGTAGTTTGGGGAGGCTTGGTATTATCGTCCACAGCACCGCGGGGCTCTTTGATCCGGGGTGGATCGGTATTCCTACACTGGAATTAGGGAATCTCGGTCGTATGCCGGTCAAGTTGTACCCCGGTATGCGGATCTGTGCGTTCACTTTTGCGCAGCTTTCTTCGCCAGCAAATGTGCCGTATCAACTCAAACCGGCAAACAAATATGCAGGGCAGGACGGTCCGGAGATGAGTCGGTTCGCCGAAGATGTTGAATTCTCGTAGGAGCGACTTCATGGTCGTAATTCTTGGTTGGAGCGATCCTTAGGTTAGGACGCTGCGCGCAAAAAACGGGCAATGCCATGCCTAATAATTTAGCAATATCTTGGAATTTTTAATATTAGGCGTGAACAAAAAATCGTGCGGCAACGCGTTCACGCTGCCTCTCTCGCTTTGCCCCTGTGTCTCGTGATTTCACACGAGAATCAACCTATTTTCGTCAATAAATGCTGTCCCATGCTCCATTACAGTTGATTGGCATAAATTTTGCTTAACCAATCAGTAAGACACTCGTCAAGTGGTATGAGTTGCGCGTTCAGTTGACGAAACTAGGACATTTTTCTGAGTTATCGAAACGGGTTTGAAGACGACCAGGCTTTCGTGCCACGTTTTCCCTACACCGTTTTATCAGATTATAGTCTCGGTCCTTGGATCGAGGAAGTTTTGAGTTTTGATAGCACGCTTCGGCTCTCAAGTTACGCCGAAAAAATTCCGGCTTACAAGTTAGCCGAAATTAGGAGGATATGTAATGACACCAAGTGAGGTGGTTGCATTTGCAAAAGAACACGATGTAAAGATAGTCGACCTGAAATTCACGGATCTGCCGGGGATGTGGCAACACTTTTCCATGATGGCAGAGGAGTTGACCGAAGACTTGTTTGAAGAAGGCTGCGGTTTTGATGGTTCGAGCATCCGTGGTTTCCAAGCAATTAATGAGAGCGATATGTTGCTCTTCCCAGATCCAACAACCGCTATTATCGACCCGGTCTGTAAGGTGCCGACGCTAAGTATTACGTGTAATATCAAAGATCCGATCACGTTGGAGAATTACACGCGTGATGTACGGTATATCGCACAGAAAGCAGAGGCGTATCTCCAATCCACCGGAATCGCAGATACGAGCTACTGGGGTCCTGAGGCAGAATTCTATCTCCTGAACGACATCCGCTACGGACAGAACCAGCACTCCGGTTTCTACTCCGTCGATTCTGTTGAAGGCAGTTGGAATTCAGGTCGCGAAGAGAACCCAAACCTCGGTTATAAACCGCGCTACAAAGAAGGTTACTTCCCGGTACCGCCTTCCGATACACTTCAAGACCTTCGCTCCGAGATCTGTCTGAAGCTCATGGAAGCTGGCATTGATGTGGAAGTTCACCACCATGAAGTGGGAACCGCGGGGCAAGGCGAAATCGACATCCGCTATGGTGAGTTAACCGTGACTGGCGATAAGATGGCGTTGTATAAGTACATCATCAAGAACGTGGCGCGCGAAAACAACCTCGTCGCTACTTTCATGCCGAAACCGCTCTTCCAAGACAACGGCTCCGGAATGCACGTCCACCAAAGTCTCTGGAAAAACGGCAAGAACATCTTCTACGATCCACAGGGGTATTCGCTTCTCAGTGAGGATGCACTCTATTACATTGGCGGCTTTGCTCGCACATGCCCGCTCGCTCTGTGCAATCATTGCCCCAACTACCAACTCTTACAAACGGTTGGTCCCAGGGTATGAAGCACCCGTGAACATCGCCTACTCGCAACGTAACCGTAGCGCATGTGTCCGTATTCCTGTCTACTCAAAGAGTGAGAAGGGGAAACGGATCGAATTCCGCCCACCGGATCCGTCCTGTAATTCTTACCTCGCCTTTAGCGCATTGCTCCTGGCAGGGCTTGACGGTATACAGAACCGCATCCATCCGGGCGACCCATTGGACAGAGATCTCTATGACCTCGAACCGGAAGAACTCGCGGACATCGAGTCCACTCCAGCGTCCCTCGGTGATGCCTTGGATGCCTTAGAGGAAGACCACGAATATCTCCTCAAGGGCGACGTGTTCACCCAAGATGTTTTGGACACCTGGATTGATTACAAACGTGAAAATGAGGTCGATGCAGTCAACATACGACCACATCCGTACGAATTCTACCTCTATCACGACATTTAGGTCGTGTGCGCTCGGAAACCACGCGATCCCGATCATCGTGATGGCGTGCTTCCGCAGAGGTTTTGAAACATCACTCTATAGGGCGGATTCCCGTATCCGCCCACCGCACTCGTACTTGTAAACCTTGAGGGCACAGATTGCAAGCCCTGATTGAAAGGCAAAGCTGCTACACAACCCTATTCACTTTTCAGCAAGGAGAATCGCATGAAAAAGTTAGAATGTATTATCCGCCCCTTCAAATTGGAGGAGGTCAAAGAGGCACTCAGCAGTGTGGGTGTTCGGGGCATGACAGTCAGCGAAGTTCGTGGTTTCGGGCGTAGCCGTGGGCATACTGAATTGTACCGCGGTAGCGAATACACAATCGAATTTGTCCCGAAGTTAAAAATCGAAATTGTTGTCGCAGAAGAGAACGTTGACAAAGTCGTTGAAGCCGTGCAACAGGCTGCTGCGACAGGTAAAATCGGCGATGGCAAAATCTTCGTCCTGCCCATTGATGAAACCATCCGTATCCGTACAGGTGAAAGAGGTCCTGCCGCTGTTTAACTTTCTATTCTATTTTTTCCCCCAGAGGCGGGTCCTACGCCCGCCTCTTTATTTTTTTAAAGTTTACTTCACATAGACTCATGTTAATCCAACATTGAGGCAACGAGTGCCTCCATCGCTGGTACTGTCCCAACAGCCGGTAATGAGGACTTCGCCGCCCATGTCTCGTATCCGCCCTCCTGCGTCAACGCCTTGTCCGTGCAGATATAACCGATATATCCATTCGCTAAACTGACAAGGAACATCGGGCTCGCGTCAGATGCGGCTTTGATGTTCATCCCCGTCTCAACGAAAACTTCTCCGGGCAACGCTACAATCACAGCCTCACCAAGGCGGAGCACTTGAATCGGAGCGGTCATCTGCGCCGGTAACTTCGCCAATCGCTGGCATTCGAGCGCGTAGACATCAACCAACGCCTGCGGTATCGGCTGCCCCACGACCCAACTGAACGGACCTGTTTCGTAGGCATCGTAAGTTCCTTGTGGAACAGACAGCACCTGCTCAGCAACTTTAAGATCTTCGGCGGTAATTCGCTTGCGTTGGAACGTCAGCGTGGCAAGGTCTCCGCTGAGGTCGAGTGTTTCGTGCATCTCCATGAGCTGCATCTCGGTGATAAAATGTCCCGCGAGAACATTCGCCATTTTCACTGCCTGCCTATGTCCGCTCGCTGTCCATTTCGTCTGTCCACTAAAGTCGGTATTGTTAATCTGTCCCGATGCGGCGTTCCAGAGGAGTGAGACGCATGTATCTCCGAGATAGTGTCGCATGAGTCGATCGAAATGCCCAAAATAGTCTGCGGAAAGGGCATTGCCGTTGTTCGTGCCGATGTAGTGGAGCGAAAAGTTCGCAACCGCGGAGATAGGTGTACCATCATCCGCTTCAACGAACATCATCGCCAACTCTGGATCAATTGTACCCGTTGGTTCCACAAGATCTGGGTTTTCGATACCGGGGTTAAAACGGACGGTACCATCTTTCATGTGCCACCGTCGATTGAAGGTGATGCGTTCTTCATTAACACTGGCGAACCCCACCCGTGCCGGCTTGAGTCGCCACACTGCGAGTTCAACGGCATCGGCGATTTTCAGTGACACCCATTCTGTATAACCCGGATCTTCATCAACACCGAGCAGATCGGCGATTGCGACGGCGGTATGTGTATGCGTGGCGTTCACCATGACGTGTGCCGCGGAATATCACATCTATCGGCGATACGTGCTTTGGCTGCATCCGCTACTTTCTCCGGTATAGCGATGAGATCGCAGGTAACTATAGCGATACGCGTTGTGCCGTTATCGATGACGACTGCTTTGGCAAAAAGTTCATCGTCGACATTCTCAGCGTATCTTGGTCGGAAACCGCCCGGTATTCTCGTGCCGAGTGGTGGTGTGATGTTCGCGCTCGCGCTTCCTGCTTTAAGAGTTGTTTGCATTTTTTAAACTTTCCTTGCGGAGGAACGACGTAGGATAAGTCTATGAAGCCTGCTCCTTAAATCCGTCCTCCATTTCATTACGGACTACGGTTTCGTATAGCGTGAAAACCCAATTTTTAATTTTACCTTGCGGAGGAACGAGGATAAGCTATGAAGCTGCTCTTAAATCCGCCCTCCATTTCATACGGACTACGTTGCGTATACTGAAAACCCAATTTTTAATTTTACTTGGGAGAAACGACGGGTAAGCTATGAAGCCTGCTCCTTAAATCCGTCCTCCATTTCATTACGGACTACGGTTGCGTATAGCGTGAAAACCCAATTTTTAATTTTACCTTGCGGAGGAACGACATGGGGTAAGCCTATGAAGTCTGCTTCTTAAATCCGCCCTCCATTTCATTACGGGCTACGGTTTCGTATAAGGTGAAAACCCAATACTTAAAAAGCCTCAATGTGAACCTCGTGAAGAATTAAGACTTACCTCACAAGCGAGATTGCCCTGTAAGCGGAATGGGATATGTACCCCTGTCTGCGTGAGATAAAGGGCCTCCGGTGTAATGGTATCTACGGTGCCACGCAAAACGACGGACGAACCGATCGGACGTTCTGCGATGACATCTGCCAACTTCTTGTGGAGTGTGGTGAGCCGATCTTCCAATGGAAAGACAAGCTCCTCTTCAACCGTTGTTCGGAGGTTTGGAAAGAAGCCTTCTCCGGCGACTTGTGCGACATCCAAAAGTAGACTTCGTGTCGTTAGCGTATAGTCGAATTCAGTGACAGAAACGGACATCGTCGTCGCGTCATACACAGGTGTCCCGAGCAGATAGAGTTGTCCCTCCGCGCCTAATGAGGGCATACTGAATCCAATTCCCGCGGCGAGTTGGGTACCACTGCCATAGAGGGTCAAATTTTTAACGAGTGTATCGACTCCTTTTAGTTTGTGCGGTTTTTCAACAAGAGGCTTAGCAAGATTTTCAACAGCGGCGTAAGTTATCTCAATCGGGGCAATGATGTGGTAGCCGGATTCAAGGGCATCCACGAAGCGAATGTCTGGCAAGTCAGTGATTGTATTATTGGAAGAATCGATTGATACATTTCCCATATTCGCTTGAATATAGGTTTCTATACCGAGGCTGAAGGAAAGCGTTTGCCCATCACTCGAAAGCTGTTGCGCAAGGATTTTCAACGGCTCTATAGTAAGTGCGATTGGCGGTTCTTGGTTGATGACTATTGGTTCATAGAGCTTTGTCCATAAACCGGCGACGCGAGTCTTTACATCTATGTCGGTGATGTATTTGACGATAAGGTGCTCTAACTTGGGGAGGATTGCTTCTCGCACCAATTCGGTAAGGATCCGACGCACCGAAATTGTAATGCCCAAAATCTCAATTTCCGCTTTCTGGATGGAAATGTCAGAGGTCGTTTTGGCAGTAATACGCCAATCCGAGTTAAGTGTTGGGGTAAGGGTTAGCGATGCAGTCGCGGTTCCTTCAATATCTTCACGTTTCTGGACTACCTGTCCGAAGATTTTTTTCGAGACGCGTGCCCACCCACTGAACCGGAATGGAACGTTTACCGATACAGTCCCGTCTGCCGTACCAGTCATTGTAAGGGAGTTAAGATTCAGTTTGATAGCGGACTCAATTGCGCCATCTTTTCGTTGGATGGGTTTGCTGAGATAGTCTCTAAGTGCGGATTCCGCTACCGTCTTGACATCCTGTATGGGCAAATTCGCCCTCACAGCAATGATTGAAGGGATTGGTGGCGGCAATAGAGCAGGTGTAACTTCCCGCGGCGGCGGCGGTGCTTGGATAGTGAGATCGGAACCACGCGGCATGAGAAAGAATAGCGTAATGCAGATTAACACAACGCCAACGGAAACCACACCCACAATTATTTTCGTCTGTTTCGTCATGATTGCAACCTTGGGATACCGCTTGAGATCCGCTGTTCCCGGTCAATACGAAATGGGTGAATGTCGAAAGTTGTTTTCCCTGTTTGTGCCAATTCGCTCAGAACGCGCCCGACGAGGGGACAAAATTTAAAGCCGTGTCCTGAAAAGCCTGCCGCAATCAACAGATCCGGACAGTGCGAGTGCGCGTCAATAATAAAATCTTCATCGGGGGTTTCGGTATAGAGACAGACCTCGGCGTGTGCAGTTTTACCGAGTTCCGGGATGCGTCCTTTCACATACGTATCCACGTGAGCAACGTAATCTGCATCGACGGTGCGTTGGCACGTCTCCGGCGAAACGGTCTCTCCCCTTCCATGCCGCCCAATTTTTAATCCGTTTCGCCCAAAATAGGGAACGCCATAGAGGAATTCGCCATCCGCTGTTGCTTCGGTGAAGACTGGAAACCGGTCGCCTTGGAAACGTGCAGTATCCGCGGGCTGGTAATAACAGACCTGCTGTTTCGTAACGGTAAGTGGGAGGTTTATTTCTGAGAGGAGAACCTCCGTCCACGCCCCTGCCGTTACGATAACTTTTCTGCCGTGGAACGAACCGTTTTCAGTCCGAACAACTGGAACATCTGCTTGCCAATCAATGTCGGTTACAGGAGTCTGCTCTCGGACTGTTGCCCCGTGCTGTTCTGCTAATTGCAAGTGAGTCAAGACGCATTCAGCGGCATGAAGGAAACCGGTGTCCTTCTGCCAGAGGATGTCCATGTCGTTGGACACGCGAAATTGCGGAAAACGTTCTGTCAATTTCGCCGCATCCCACCACTCGGATTCAACACCTGCGGCATCTAAGCTTTGTCGAGCAGCACGTCCATACGGGTTTCCCGTTGTGCCGAAGCACAAACTCCCCGTGATGAACAGGAGTGGCTTCCCTGACACAGATTCAAGGTCTCGCCATTCGGCATAGGCGGTTTTCATCAATTCTGTGTAAAAGGGCTTATCATAGAAGAAACGGATGATACGGGTTTCACCGTGCGAACTGCCAAACGTATGTCCACGCTGAAACTGTTCTAAGACAAGCACGTCTGCGCCA